TTTTTTTAAATCCATGTATTACAGCAATGTGTAGTTGTGTATGCCTGTAATCCTAGCACTGGGGAACTGGAGGCAAGGAGGATTATGGCAAATTTGAAGTCAGCTGGTCTACACAGCAAGTTCCAAGCCAGCCTGATCCTGGTCTGGCCTGGTCTGTCTCTCTGTCTCAACTCCCCTGAACCCCCCCAGAAAAACAAAACAAATCAACAAAATAACCCATGCACTATAAATTATCAAAACAGTTCCTAATTACAGGATATTTAGATTGCTTCCAAATTTTCCTTATTGTGTACTTTTTTTTGTTGCTTTTAAAAAGTTAATCTTCAAAGCCAATTATGTCACAAACCCCCAAAATTATATAATTTGCTTTACCTTAAACTGTGGCTTTTCAGAAGTTGTTAGTAAAACATCACTGAATAATCTGTTAAGAAAAGAAACAAGTCTGTAAGGCCCTGGGTTCAATCCCCAGTACCACCAAAAAGGAAAACAAAAAACCCAAAAATAGAAACAAAAAAAAAGACCTTTCTTAAACCAGCTGTACTCTCAGAACAGTTTCCCTGAGGTCTCCTTCTTTACAGCACAGACTACAGCCCAATTCACCATTCCAAGTCTATCAACAAAGGCCAAGGTGTTTACAGGCCAATCAGTGTGACTTCAGAACTGTTAGAAGGGAAGGAACTGGGTCAGCTGTACTGGAGACTGTTTCCCCACTGTGGGTAACATAATAGATGAAAAAAAAATTGGTAAATACCACTTGAAAAATATTACAAAGAATATATTTAGTAGATATTTCTAAAAGAATAACTATTTTTTTTTCTTCTTGCCTCAGAAAAGGTGAAATTTATTCTAGAATTCAGTAAATCCAAAATTTTCAAGTAAGCAGAAAGGAATTGTCATGATTAGAATCTAAAAGTCATTTCTTCTGAGAGTTTCACATATTTCATTCTAAAAAGCAGCAGCTTCAGGAGCATGCTGGCTCTTCTCTGAAAAGGCAGGCTGTGAAAAATGGCCGCAGGAGCAACCCTGAACTGCTCTGGCTGGAGGGCTGCCTGCACAGTGCCTGAAGGGCTAAGTGAGCTTTCCTTGAATGCTCATCCCAAGAAGAAATGAGTCTCCTTTTCTGTCCTCCTCTTCAAGTCTTGGCCTCCTCTGCTACTCATCTACTGACTCCAAACCTCACGTTTTCATTGACCACAGGTCACACCTCTTCCAGGTGTTCTTGAGGCTTGAAGCCCATGGGGTAAAAAGACTTCGGTGTAGAAAAAAATATTTGGATAGATGTTGTAACCAGGGAAAAGGGAAGAGCTTTGGGGAAGGAAACACAAATGCAAACTCAAGTACATCAGCTTCATACAGGCTGTTTCCCATTTTGACCCAGAAGCCTATATGGAAATTGTGCAGTTTTCCAAACTGGATCTATTTTTCCATATGCACATTGTTATTAGTGGTCATTGGGTTGTAAAAAAGAGCATTAAAATGTCACATCTATGTACAGGGGCTTGTTTTGTCTCCTCATTGGTCGCCCCAGGGTACAGACCATGCCTGGGCTATAGCAGACCCTTTCTAACCACATAGGAAGAATGAATGAAGAGCCTAAAGTTATCCACATCCTCTGACTTCACACTGTCCCCGTCTTGTTTGCCAGTTACTATTTCCCAAGTACCTCTGCTACACAACAAGCTGGTACAGACAAAGCACAGGGTTCAGGAAACTTCTCACAGGGATGAAGAAACTTGCCCAAGGTCTCCCAGAGGGAAGAAACAAAGCTGAGATCCATTCACAGGCCTGACTCCAGATACACCCTCCTTAACCATTCAGCTACCTCTCCATGAAAGATTAGAGAAAGTACCTAAGCCAGGCCTGGTGGCACACACCTTTGATCCCCGAACTCGGGAGGCAGAGGTAGGCAGATCGGATCTCTGTGAGTTCCTGCACTCAGGAGGCAGAGGCAGGCGGATCTCTGTGAGTTCAAGGCCAGCCTGGTATACACAGTGAGTTCCAGAACAGCTGGGGCTACAGGGAGACCCTGTCTCAAAAAGACCAAAAAAAAAAAAAGTAGAGAAAGTACCTAAAAGAAAAGCCCTAAGCACTAGAGCAATGGTCTCAACTCCTCCCAACTCCATTGACAGGAGGACTTCTGAGCAAAAAGCCCAGGACAGAGTTTGGTACATGCTATGGGTTTAATAGCTAGTGCTCAGGGAACAAGTGAAAGCACGGGAGCCCCAAAACACAGGGCTTCCTCATACAGGGCAGGCCAACCAAGGCCAGACACTTGCCAACCACCTAGAGCTGGGGGCCAGGTGGTAGTTGGAGCAGGGTCAGCAGAGAGAGGTGCTGGGAGGGCCTCCTTCCATACTTCTTAAGAATTTCACATACAAACACAAAAAATGCTAACATTGATGGGACACACATGGAAAGGACACTGGCATCCCAAGACAGCAAATGGACTAAGCAGAGAGGTCACAAGGAAAGGATCATGGCGTCACACTCTAAGTGACTGACAGCAAGCTGATCACTTCAGCTCTGCAGGGACCACACTTTACTAGGTACCAAGCCCTGGAGCAAAGTGGTCCAAGGTTCAACACAGTTTCCAAGATTACAACCAATGCATATGATTGACTTACGGCATCTGTAAGAGCCGGGAGACGGTAGGCATGCCATTTTTACAGGCTTCACAAGACAGCGTAGACTCCAACACGGCCACTTGAAATGAACAGATACACATTTTAGTTCCACAGACACTCTGGCAGATCCACTTGGTGATGAAAAGTTTGACACCACTTTGCAACAACTGTCTGCAGGCTGATCAGGACAGTGTCAAAACTCTTCACATACAGACAGATGGCATACATGGGGGAGGGGGACTGCTGGCAATGCTGGTGTTACCAACGACTCAAAAGAAATGCTTCAGAAACCACATGCTGACAGACAGCTAAGTATATTTCAAGGATAAATGGAGGAAGGTGTCAAGGTACCATTCATAAAATTATTCTCTTTAGAGAAAGAAGCAAACATTACACAGAAGCAAAATTCTGAATTTGACTTTGCTGCTTGCCTGCTTTTAATGGAACCCAGCACACAAAGTGCCCAGCTGTTGATACCTCATCATCTAACACCTTGGATGCTATGAATGAGCAGCCAGATTCTCCCACCCACAGATTTAGTCTCAGCTGTTCAAATCAGCACTAAACAGTTCCAGGGTCTGTTCTCTTGAACTGCCACAGTTGGCACAGGGAAACTTGGTGGAGTGCTTATTTACATATTCCAAGCAGAGTGTTCCTCAAACTACCCAGCCCTCCTCTCTTCTCCAGCCTTGAGCTTTGAGCTGGTTGTGGAGAGGATGGGAAGGTCTTGGGATGAGTCCACTTTGGTCCCTATGCTTCCACCTGTCCTTTGGTCCTCCTTAGCCTAGAAGAGCTGCTGGATCCCATTTGTCTGGGTGTCTGGAGACCTGGCTGGGCCTGCTAGACCCTTATCTTCCAGGCTTCCATCCATGGCTCTTGAGTTCCTTCCAAGTCCTACTTCAGCCTTGATCTGACCCCTGACACCTGCCTGGCTCCTCAAGTCTGGCTTTACTTCTGCTTCTGCTTTAAAATTCAAGTTGCCCATAGCTCCCTTTATATCCTTCTGATTCTAGAATAATGTACTTTCCAGAATGTTCCCCAAACATTTCAGACAGCTCAACAAACAGACAAGCCATCTGAATGTTCACTGATGTGTGCTTCTGGCTGTAGAGGACAACTTCCTCTGGATCCTTCTTGGACTCTGGAAAGGAGTGAGTAGCTCTGTAGACTATCAGGACCCAGAAGACCCCTCCAAGACCTGTACTGACCCACAGACATGGATGGTGCAGGAGGAAAGGAGTCCACAGGCACTGAGTCTGGAGGTCGTCCATAAGTCATTTCATACAGTAAGTGGCCAAAGCAGTGGACATCTACACTTTCCAAAGTCTGCAGAAGAAAGAGCAGTGCCAAGTTCAACCTTCAGTTTGGCTTTGTGACCCTCACTGCTCCTACCTAAGCTTCTGCTTAGGAACAAGGCTCAGAGGCAGACCCATTTCCAATGCAACACCAAAGCCTTTTAAAAAACTCACAAGGCACTGTTCTGGCTTGGGTTGTGGTGCATTTTCAATCAATGATTCTATTCCCTTCCTTGTCCACCCATTATTTCAGTTTAGCCTCTTGAAGATCCAGCAATATTCCATAAGTGAAATAGGGTCAAAGGCAAGGTACACGCCAACTGTATTTTTCACTGCTTACCACATGGGTAATTTATACCTAAAAATGAATCTTCTGCTTCATGACTGCCACGACTTACATTAATTTTCCTGAATTGTGTGAAGTAGGATCGGTAGAAGGAAGGAAGACCCAATAAGGAATTCTCAAGATCTAGCAGCCGGCAAGTGTCCCCATCTAGCATCACATTAGCAGCATGAACATGGCCGTAAGGGAATCCCTTGTCATGGAGAAATTTTAGTACCTATTGAAAAATACGTGTAGGTTACATTGTTTCCCCAACTCATTCACATATAAGATAGGTTTAACTCATGTTTCGGGGCCAGAGAGATGACTCAGAAGGTAAAAGGCCCTTGCCATCAAGCCTGATGACCTGAGTTCAACCCCTGAGATCCACATGGTAGAAAGAAAGCACTGACTCACAAACCTGTCTTCTGACCACAAATGCACTGTGGCATGCACACACTTACATACATACACAGACACACAAATAAATAAATATTTTAAAAAGAGGAAAAAAACCATTTTGGCTGGGAGTGTAGCTCAGTAGTTGCATGCACTAAAGAGATTCCTGAAGAAAAATGTCACCTCCATCCATTGCTTTGGAGAAGGGGAGTGATTGATATGGAATGCTCCCAGCTGTGAGCCTGTCAGACACAACAGGAAGTTCCCTCTTTTCCCAAGCAACAGAAAAGCAGCTTGGAGAGAATAGCTCTGGTGCCAAAAGGCTCTGCTTGAAGAGCTTTCTGATCCCAGCAGGCAGCTCTCTTTCAAGGCAGTCCTGATCCACCTACATGGATGCGGAAAGCTATGACATCAGTGTTTCTGCTAGTCGCTTAGGGAAAGAGGTTAATTAAGTTGAAAACATCTCTAATTCAATCTCTGCTTGGAACATATTTGGCTGTTCACTAATTAAGAAAAACACAAAACAGGTTCCCACAAAAATAAGCAAACTTTTCAGCTGCCATTTAGATAAATAATAGCTCACTCAGCAACAGGGATTCCTTGATGATGCCCCTACAAAGACCTGGAGAACTAGGGCAGTGGCAGCTGAGGGGTGCCCAGGCCAATCCAGTGAAGACTGGAAAGTCATAACTTCTTCCAATTGCTACCTTTAAAAAAATCTCATTCTTAAAAAAAAAAAAAAAAATTATTCTTTTTATAATGTACAAAATGTATTATAGTACTACAAATGTGTAAATTTATAGTTAAGTATATATAAAATGGGAAGGGGCTGAGGAGATGACTCAACTGGGAAAGTACCTGCTGTACATGCATGAGGAAATGATTTTAGGTGCCCAGCACTCATGCAAAAGCTGGGCACAGGTATAGAGGTAGGGCTTGCATCTGTACCCCCAGTGCTGGGGGAGGAGGAGGAGACAGCTGGATCCCCAGAGCTTATGACCAACCAGCCTAGCCAAATGGTGAGCTCCAGTTTCGGTGAGAGACCTTGTCTCAAAAAATAAGATGAAGAGCAGCAGAGGGTGACACTTGACATTGACCTCAGTCCTCCACACATGCATGTGCAGGGAGTGTGCACACACACAAACACACATACACTATATAGACATGTATGTATATGCATATATATATAAACATGGGGCTAGGGTTATGCTGAAGTCTTTATCGACAGGGTTGCACAATCCAAGAAGCCTACAGAATACTCTGTAGACAAGGTGACATGAGCAAAGCTGGCACTCTCTCCTCCCTCTCCCTCCCCCCAACCCCCCACTACTCAGGATCACTTGGTACCTTGTGATACTAAGCACACACTATACTGCTGAGCTCTATCTCCAGTCCCAATGGGACAGGCTTTCATTGCTTGTTATACTTCTGTAAAGAAGCCATATGGGTATATATACGACATTAAAAAATATTGGGAGGCTGGAGAGATGGCTCAATGGTTAAAAGTACTGGCTGCTCTTGAGCAAGAGGACCTAGTTCGATTCCCAGCACCCAATGGTAGCTGACAACCATCTATAACTCTAGTTTCAGGGAATCTAAGACCCTCTTCTGACCTCTGAGGGCACTGCATAACATGGTGCACTTATGTGCATGCAGGTAATATACTCATACACATAAAATAAAAATAATTAAAAATACTGGGCTGGCCGGGTATGGTGGTACACGCCTTTAATCCCAGCACTTAGGAGGCAGAGGCAGGCAGATCTTTGTGAGTTTGAGGCCAACCTGATCTACATAGTGAGTTCCAGGACAGCTGGAGCTATAAGCAGACCCTGTCTCAAAAAGACAAAAAAATAAATAAATAAATAAAAATACTGGTCTGATGAGATGCTCAATGAGCACTTGCCACACATGCCTGACAATCTATTGAAATCTGATCCCCAGAATCCACATAAAGCTTAAAGGTAGAAAGTGAGAACCAACTCCACAAAGTTATCCTCTGTGCTCCACATGCACACCATGGCACACAATAAAGTAAAAAACAAAAAATTTGGCATAAACAGCATCCAAAAACACAAAAGATGGTATCCACATAGTAAAATTCTTAAGTCAGACACCAAATTCCAACAGCTAATGCTTTTGGAATTTTATAGATCTAAATTACTGTTACCTTCATCTCAAATATTTGCTTGTTGGGACAAAATATAACAATGCTATCAATTTACAGATAATCAGACAATGTCTATAATTTAATATTGCCTAAGAACTTTCCCATAAGAAAAATGTCATTCTAGAGGCTGGATAGATGGCTCAGTGGCTCAGAGTGCTTGCTGTTCTTCTAGAGGACCTGAGTTCAGTCCCCAGCACCCATGTTGGGTGGCTCACAACTGCCTGTAACTCCAGCTCCAAGGGATTTGATGTCCTCTTCTGTTCTCCACAGGTACCCATACACATGTGGCAGACACACAGACATACACACACATAAATTTAAAAACATTCTTAAATATAAATCTTAAAAAAAATAGTTTCTGGATGAAACACCAGTTCAACTTAAAAAGAAATCAAATACCTCTTACCTCTAATATCTGCCGTCCATATGTTTTTATTTGCTGAAGTTCTAAGCCCTGAATTTTCTTAGGGTTGCAGTATTTCTTCAGGAATGGGTCCTTTGGTTTTGCCTTTAGAAAAGAACCAAGAAAACATAAGTAGCAGAGGAGCCAGTATCTACATCTGGGCTTCCTGAAAAGACAAGACTTCAGAGAATGGGGGTACGAGATACCACCAACTCACCAGATGTGGGGTTTTTAGGTTTTTTCCTCCCTCCCCAGGCCTCTCTCCCAACCCTAGTTTTTAGTTTTTTTTAGAAAGGCCTCCCTATAGCCCCAGCTGACCTGAAACTCACTACTCGGACCAGACTATACTCAATCTCACAGAGATCCACCTGCCTCTGCCTCCTCAGTGCTGGGATTAGAGGTGTATGCCACCACATCCAGCTCTGATGTGGGTTTTTTTAATCCAAAAGTCTGTAGTTGGGAAAAAGAGGCTGATCCAGACACTGTTCCTTCCTATGGACTACAAGTCTGGTCTTAACCTTGGCAGTTCTCCAAAGCCTGTTAGAATTCTGTTAGAATACTGTTAGAATTCTCCAAATGCTGCTTTGTTAAATGCAAGACACTAACCTTAAAACTCACTAAAAGAGACGCCCATAATGTAATGGAAGTTTTCGTTAAATGGTCTATCCTCCCTCATGAAGAAAGAAATGGTCTTTAACCAAACTAGGAAGAATTTTTCCAAGTTAAATTGAAATTTCTGTTTTTATGTTTTGATTTTTTTACAGTTTCACTATGTAGTTCAGGCTGGCCTGAAGTTTGCAATCCTGCTGCTCCAGCCTCCTGAGAATTGGGATTTCAGGTGTGCACTGCCACGCTTAAAATAAAAAACTAAAATTAAATTCTTAGGGCCTAGCTTCTGGAATTTTGATATCAAGTATCAGTAATGGGTTCTAAAGGAACTCAAGAACTTTATAGCCATGAATTTGATTCATAAGTAATACCTTGTAGATCAGATCCTTCAAAGTTCCTTTTTCATTAAACGTCCTAATCAGCAATGCTGAGGATTCATTAGCTGTGGCAAAGGTAACCCGATAGATGTAAGGGTGCTGCCAAAACAAAGAAGAAATTCAGGTTGGTTCACATGAGCACCTAGGTCCTTTTAGGTTCATGACCTGGTTACAAAGAATCAAGCCTCGTGTTGGTTTAGTTGCATACAAACATGACATTGCCTGAACACAGGCTATTTTTAAGTTATTTGATGATCCACTAGTTCCTCCCCCTTCAGGTGGGAGAAGGGACATAAAGATTAATGGCAAAAGGAGGTGGCACCATGACATGGTAAACTCCACATGGAAAGCCTCTGCTTTAGTTGAGGCAAAACTGTGTTGTCAGGGAGGAAAGGGCTGAGTTCTGGGAATAATGTTCTAATGTTCTGCCTCTGAAAACCGATAAGGAACAGAGCTAAGTCACAGAGCAGACAAGTGGAAGACCAGGCCAAAAATGTCTTTGAGCAAAGCTCTGCCTGGTATTCTGCACTGCTGTTTGGGTACCAACCCAGGAACATGTAAGTCAGGAAACAAGTCAGAGCATCCCCAGCCTTTTCCAGAAGCAGTTAGCATGAACTGTCCTATCCATTTTCAGAAGTCTGCAGTACAATGATTCATAGTGTCCTCTTCAGACAAGGACCCTAACATCAAGCAGGGTGGGAAAAGATAGTTTTTGATGACCAAAAGGAAAGTCTTTCTGTAACCTGAAACTTTGATACATGGATAAACTTGCTCCAGACAACTAATAGCACCCATTAGCTCAAAGGCGAGCCATGAAAATTTAAATTCACTGCTGTGGGGGGCTGGAGAGACCGTTCAGTGGTTAAGAACACTGGCTGCTCTTGAAGAGTATGCTGGATAGCTTTAGTTTGTCAACTTGACACACCTGAGTAGAGGGATTCTCAACTGAAGAATTTCCTCCTCCCATTGTGTATTGTGCCACCCCTGGGCAGGTTGTCCTGTGTTGTTTAAGAAAGCCGGCTGAGCATGGGCCAGAGGACCAAGCCAGTAAGCAGTGCTCCTCCATGGCCTGAGTGATTCAGCTCTTGCCTCCAGGTTCCTGCCCTGAGTTCCTACCTTGGACTCCTGCAGTGATGAACTATGACCCAGGAGATATAAGTCAAATAAACTCTTTCCTCCCCAAATTGGCATTGGCCAGTATTTTGTCACAGCAACTGAAAGCAAACTGGAACATAAAGGACCCAGGTTTGATTCCCAGGAACACAGAGGACCCAGGTTTGATTCCCAGAACCCACACGGCGACTAACAGCTGGCCTGGAACTTACTATATAGACCAGGCTGGCCTCGAACTCACAGAGATCCGCCTGCCTTTGCCTCCCAAGTGCTAGGATTAAAGGCATGCACCACCACACCCAGCTATCTTTCTTATTTTTTAAAACTACATTCATTAAAAGAAATTTATAGCCAGGGGTGGTGGTGCACACCTTTAATCCCAGCACTTGAGAGGCAAAGGCAGGTGAATGTCTGTGAGTTCAAGGCCAGCCTGGTCTACATAGTGAGTTCCAGGCCAGCTGGGGCTACAGGGAGATCCTGCCTCAAAAAGACCAAAAAAAAAAAAAAAATTTACAACTGGGTGTTAGCAGATCTGGTGAGATTCGGGCCTATAATACCAGCAGTTGGGAGGCAAAGGCAAGAAAATTACAAGTTCAAGACCTGCCTAGGTCATCAAGTGACTTCAAAGCCAACCTGGGCAACTTAGTGAGACTCTATCTTAAAAGCTAAATAAAGAGTTGGGCATCTAACTCAGTGGTGAACACTTGCATAATACAAGACCCTAGGTTCAATCCCAAGTACCTTCAACAACAACAAAAACCTGGGTGTTACTAAATGGACTCAGAACATTTGTGTGTGTGTGTGTGTGTGTGTGTGTGTGTGTGTGTATTCATAAATATATGTATGTATATATAGAAATAATAACCAAATGAGGACAGAAAATTGAGAGGGAGAAGGGGAATATGGGAGGAGTTGGAGGGAAGACAGGGAGGGGAAGAAATGATACAAAACTCATGCATGAAATTCTCAAAAGAAATTTTTTTAAATCTGAGTGCAGGGCTGGGCGTGGTGGCACAAACCTTTAGTCCCAGCACTCGGGAGGCAGAGGCAAGCGGATCTCTGTGAGTTCAAGGCCAGTCTGGTCTACATAGTGAGTTCCAGGACAACTGGGGCTATAGGGAGACCCTGTCTCAAAAAGACCAAAAAAAAAAAAAAAAAAAAAAAAAATCTGAGTGCTGACAGTTTGTCATACAACCAATCAAATTCATACAATCAAATTCAAGGCCACAGCATTTTTCTTGGACATAAATCATACCTAATTAAAACTTGGCTTCAATACTTTAAGAAGATACTTTAGAACTTTCCTTAGACCTTATTAAATACAGTGGAACACTTAGGTGATTTCAGTATATTTTGAGCTACAAACTTTTAAACAGCAACCACAAATGTGTAAAATTATTTCTATCCATTTTTTAATGAAAATGAAGTAAAATGATTTCACTTAAAAAAAAAAAAGAAGATACTTTATCATCAAAAGTGAACTTCAGAATAACCATGCTCAACCAGGTGTAGACAACTCTAGGTATAGACAACAGTGTCAACATTAACCCAATTTCCAGGCCAGACTTCAGTCCTTGTTGAAGACATTCTGCACTATTTTTGATTTATCCATGTGGTTTCTTCTCTCTTTTGATGAGAACTCTATATTAGCATAAATAAAGCACATTCCCCTAAGGGCCAGCTAGTTAATCCATGACAGAAGCAGCTCAGACAGAAAAGTGGTTATTTTGCCATCCCTTCACCTGGATTATCTAGAGCCTCAGTAGTTAAGTCTTCTTGGGCTAGAAAGAGACCTTTGGTTCAACTGATAAAAACATACTCACCAAGAACAAGCGGTTCAGAGAAGCAGCTTTCCCCTACTCTGATATTTGCTTAAAATATGAAGACTATATTTAAATTACTGAGATCAATGAGCTATGCAGATGTCACCAACATTGGTTTAAATGGCTTCTGATCTATGTGATGCAGTCCTGCAAACTTCTAGTCTGAACTGAAAGCCACTGTACCTTTCCATCCTCTGGAACCTACAGAGTACTTCTAGCTCTTCTGTACAGGTTCACCATCAAGAAAACATTATGACTCTGATCAGCACTGAGAATAACAGGAGGACTTGTACTTACCAAACAGGAAGGCAGAAGTTTGATTAAACACTGAAAGTCTTTATCTGGCAAGTACTTGTCTGGGCCAAGATCAGCCTGAAAATATGGGAGGAAATATCAGAGTACTGCTTTGCCCATCTAAAGAAAAATTCCTTCTATCTTTCCCCCTCATTTTATTTGTCCAGATACATGATTATAAATCAAAGATGAAAGCTGTATTAAGTCTTGCTGCTTCAAAGCCTTTTCTGGAGAGGTAGTATATAAACATTATATCAGAATTTGACTCCTAGTTCATCCAATTCCACTAACCAATGCCACTTGAACTCCCAAAGTAGAAAAGACAAGGTAATGCCCAAGTATTTCCTTTGGAGGGAAACTTCAAAACTGTCAGTCTTAAAGAAATTCCAGGGAACCATTTTAAGTCGTTTCTGTTTCTTTCTGAATGTTTACCACTTGAGAAAATATACTTACATCTTTTAAACCAAATGCATAGTCTAGGACATAAAATGATTCTCCTTTGATGTGGGACTGAGGAAGCCCTTATATCATCACTTAAGATCACAGTGCAATTTTGTAATTCTCTTATTAAACTGCTTTCTTAAACCTATCTAAATTTCCTGGAATAAATTGAAGCAAAAGAATTAGCTTACCCAGCTCAACACTAGCCGTTCTTTTGGTTGGTTTTTAATCTTCATCAGGAAATATTTCTTCCTTATCCTCCAACCTGCCACAGAAGCAGAAATATGTTTATAGCTGCATAATTTTTTACAACAACTGGTATAAGTTTTATTGCTAAGTAGTTAATAAAAATTATATTTGGCAAACTCAGCCACAGCTAAAGGCACCAACCATTTAATAATGTTTACATGGAAAGACTATACTACAAAACAATAAATAAAGAAGTTACTACAGTCATGAAAAAACTAGGAAAATACCATTTCAATCTAGATTTATTGAAAAACATCCATGAAAAATGAATGGAGGGGCTGGAGAGATGCTCAGCAGTTAAGAGCACTGGCTGCTCTTGCAAAGGACAGGATTTGGTTCCCAGCACCCATGTAGTGGCTAACAACCATCTGTAACTCCAGTTCCAAGGGATCTGATGGCCTCTTCTAGCCTCTATGGCCACACATGTGGTGCACTTATGTACACATAGGCAAAACACTCATACATGTAAAATAAAAAGAAATAAATCCCACCCCAAACAAAGAATGAATGGTGGTCCTGAAAGTTACCACCATCCTAGTCCTCTGATGATGTTTTAACCACCGCCAGCCTGGTCTACATAGTGAATTCCAAGCCAGCTGGAGCTACAGGGAGACACTGTCTCAAAAATCAAAACAAAACAAACAAACAAACAAACAAAAAACAAAAAAGAAAAGTTAAGAGTATCTTCAAGCAGTAGGGAGGTTAAAAAAAAAAAAAATGAAGTCACCAGAATTAAAGAGCTTTCTTGGGATACGTATCAGCAAGCCTAAGAATCCAGTTCTGTGAGGCTGCAGAGATGGCTCAGTGGTTAAGAGCACTGACTGCTCTTGCAGAGGACCCAGGTTCAATTCCCAGCACCCACACTGTGGCTAACAACCATCCATAACTCCAGTTCCAGGGGATCTGACACCTTCTTCTGAACTCTGTGGGCATTGCACAACATGGGCGCACTTGCATACATGCAGGCAATACACTCAAACACATGAAACAAAAATAAATAAAATTTTTAAAGAATCCAGTTCTCTGACCTGTCTTAACAGAATAAACACACCAGCTTCTCACCTATGTCTTTCAACGGTTCTACCACTTCCCACTTTGGTTCTGATCGGAAGAACATGGAAACCTGTTGTAAGGCAATCTCTGCAATGATATTGTAGAAACTCATTAGTCAGTCATAACCCTCATTAGGAAAGGGCTATCTGCTTCACATGTTATTTTTGCAAACAGAGATCATATAGTCTCTGAACTTCTTTAAAACTTCATCACAACAAAGGAAGAACTTTAAAAAATAATGTAGGATTCTAGACTGAACCCAGGAAAAACTGGTGAAAGCTGAATAAAGCCTAAGTTTAAGAGTAATGCACTAATATTACTTTCCTAGTTTTGGTTAAAGTGCCATGGTCATATAAGATGTTAACATTAGAGAAACTGGGTGAGGGATATATATGGAAATTATTAATGCAACTTCTCCACAAAGCTAAAATTAATCTGAAATTAAAAGATTATCAAGGAGCAAAATACAATTATTTATTATGTGAAAGTATACATTTTTTTCAAACTGGAAAATCTAAAGTATGTAAGCATGCCTAAACCAAGAATTTAATCAGAACACAACTGAAACCTAAGATTCAAAACATATTCTAAGGGCAGATTGGAACAACAAGCTCCAAGTGATATTTATTCCATCTTCATTCCTTGTGGAATTATAGCTTTCACAGACAAAGAAGTGATTAGCCTTAAGTACATACTGGAAATAAAAGCCACTGTTTTGGAAAAAAATATTTTTCAACAATAATGCTATTATGGGAAGCCACAGTGTCTGTTTACTGTAAAAAAAAGATTTCATCCTTTTTTGGTGTTCATTTATCATGAAAATGTTTCCCCTTTTTAAGAAGACAATGAGAAGGGGAAGTTTCTTAAATTCATTGTACTAAGAAACTATCAGAATAACTGCTTTTTACATTTCCTGCAAAAAACATCTGTAGGTCACCATTTCCTCTCAATATAGTAAGTAAATGAAGGTATTCAGATCCCCGAGAGCAAATAACATTCTTCTGGAAGATGAAGCATGGTGGACCCTCACCTCTGCCTAGAGTTCATGACATTCCAAGGAGGCTGGGGAGGCATGAGGGAGTCAGCTACAATTCTCTTCATATGTCCAAATAACCTCTCCTGGAATTACTGTGCTGAGAGCTATACCTGAACTCACAGAAGTATACTGTCTCTGCCTCCTGAGTGCTGGGATTAAAGGTGTGAGCCCAGCTCCAAAAAGAAATTATTTTAAGTGAAAATTGTTAATGTCAACTGTAAGAAGATCATGAAAAAAATAATTTCCTACTGTACTACAATGCCATTTTAATAGAGATAATAGGAATTGTTCAAAACTAACGGTGACTCATAATTGCCTACAAAATCATTAATCAGTGATTTACTGCACGCTACTATGTACTGTACACGCTTTAGGAATGAGGAAGTTAGTAGTGAAAAAATAGAGCATGACAGATTTGTTGCTGATAAACTGAGAACTGAGAATTGGAATTTTTTTACCTTGGTGGTCAAAGAATTAAAGAAAGGAAAGTTTTGTTCCTTTGAACTATTATCATCAAATTGCATGGCTACAGGCTTCCAATGTTAATGCTCTTTCTTCTCAGACTCTTGCTACACATTTCAATCCTAAACATCTACTCCTTGGCTTAGAAGCTTTTTCTGGCTCCTCACTTCTTACCAAATCAATACCAAGCTACTAAAGCCAGTGTTCAGCTAGCTCTGGCTTGCCTTTGCTTTCTGGCTTCATGGCCCACAATATTTGGTGCCTGACCTGCCGCAATCTGAGCTCTGCCTCCCACACCTTTTCAAGAGTGGCCTACCCTAGCACTCAGTATTTTCCCTCAGGTCCAGCTAAACCTCTAGGCTGAGCCCAAATGTACTGCTCCCCCACCCATTTCTGCTTCATACATGCCCTGTACTGCATCTGTGCCTTTCATGGAATTACCCGGTGTGTCCAGAATTAGGACTGCTCTCTTCCACTGCACTGTAAACTCTAGATGGAAGGATCCCTTCTAACTTGGGTAAAACCCAGGGCCCTTTGGAAATATTTCTCCTCTATCCCACCCATTCTGAGCTGTTCTTCCTGAAGCACTGAGTCCTGCCTCCAGGCCTACTAATCTCCACTGGCCCCTCAGAAGTTTGCATCACCTCCTCCGAGAAGCCTTTTGCCACCTCCAGTTCTGGATCATCTGCACCTTCCAACCCTCACCCCATCCCTTTTGCCAAGGTACAGCCAGGTTCCCTGTTACCCTGTAACAGGGCAATCTCCCTACATAAATGCCGGGGCACAGGGCAGAGGGAAATAGTCCTTCCCCTTTGATGTATATATAGCACCTGGCACATGTGATAGGTGCTCAAATTAATATTTGATAAACCTGGGTGTGGTGGTGCACGCCTTTAATCCCAGCACTTGGGAGGCAGAGGCAGGTGGATCTTTGTGAGTTTGAGGCCAACCTGGTCTACATAGCGAGTTCCAGGACAGCTGGGACTACAGAGAGACCCTGTCTCAAAAAGACAAAAAAAAAATTTTTTTGATGAAGAATTAAAGATTGAATACGTGGTCAATGGCTGTGGAACCTCTCATCAGAATATGAAGTCCATAAAATGGAAGGCATTTATAAGCCAGGCATTCACACCGTTAATCTCAGGACCCAGGAGGCAGAGGCTGGTGGAGCTCTCTGAGTTCAAGGACAGCGAGGTCTACATAGTAAGACTTTGTCTCAAAAAAGAAACAAAAGAAAGGGAATATACTTGCCTACTATTTATTTCTTCTCTTTTATAAAATTTATTTTTATTATATATTTTTAAATTTCGCTATTTTTTAATACTGATTGACACTTGGGGGGCACTGATAACTGCTCAGTAAGTGCTGGGAAACCAAGGTCAAAGGCAGGAAATGCAAAACCAAGCTCTTAGTCCATCCTGCTGCTCCCCACCCACCTTCTGCAGAGCTAGAGGTACCAGGTCTCTGTCTGTGCACAGCCTTTGAACTCCTAGATCCCAGCCCCACATGGTGGCTCCTCCAGTCCTGTAATGAGGGTCCAGATCTCTGCTGGGTCTTGCTGCAGAGCAGCCTGCAGTCCCTCCAGAACATCCAGACATTCGGTCTTTGTTCTGAATATAATCCTCTACCCTGACCCTCCCTCTTTCTGGCCTAGTAATCAAGGGATTTCTGGGTTTTAGAACCAGAAGTTCAACACTCCTTGAACTGTTGCCCCCACCGCCAACCACTGCCTCTTCTTTCATAGAACCTAGAGCCTGAATATATTTTAACTTCTATAGACTTGATCTTTTGGAGAAAACCAGGAAAAGAAAGGCCCAGCAATCCAGGTTAGGTCTCTAATACAACAGGAGGCAGCTGCTGATGTCCTGGGAAATCCTGGCTGTTTATCCCCTGGGACTCAGGTTGGCAGTAGAGTCCCTCCCAAACAAGACACTCTCACCCCATAAGTCAGAGCAAGACCAGGAAAAGTAGCTGTGCTGATTTTGGCCATCAGTTCAATACTGAATACAAATCTTGCTGAAGTGAAATAGGACAGTAATCACAGACAATTTGGAAGCTAAGAGGCAGGGACCTTATCCACACTGGGACACTCGGCCCTGCTTAGAGAGGTGCAACATGTTAGGGGATGTGCTGAGAGCCCCAGGGAACCATGCTGTGAACCTCAAGAGTGGTTCAGTCAAGCTGGCAGGAGGAGGTGACCTGGGTTTCTCTTTCCTGGCACAACTGGTGAATCAGCCTGGAGGCAAGGCAAGTTCTGATATTTCATTCAAAGGCGGAAATAAATCAGCTCCCCTCACCTACTGTTTCATCTCAGGACTCTGCCCTCTAAATAGTGGCTGGACTCTTGAGCAATTAGATTCTGGTGGGAATTTCTAGTGACCTTCTTATACCCTGGGCACATCTGCTTTGCACTCCTGACCATCAGCCCTGCTGTGGGAGAGGAAAAAGATCAAAGACAATAACAACTAAAGGTGGGGAGTACAATAGAAAGAAAAACGGATCAGACAAACTTCCAGGAACATTTTAAAATGAAAATATCAAGACTACTGTCACAAAAATGTGCAAGGGTAAATAAGTCCTTCCCTCTCTGGGGACCTTAATTGCCTCATGTATAAGATGAAATGGTTGGGGTTGAGGAGATAGATCAGTCAGTAAAATGCTTGCCACACAAGCATGAGAACCCAAGTTTGATTCCCAGCATCCATGTAGAAAGCCAGGAGCCAGCTCATGCCTATAATCCCAGTGCAGGGGAGGGAGAGATAAAAAGATCCCTGCATCTTGCTGAGCAGCCAGCCTAATCAAAATGGCAAGCTTAAAAGAGTGGAGGAAGACACCAGGGACATCGACCTCTGGCTTCCATATGCACTCAAACACATGTACACATTATTTGAACACACACATGGATACACATACAAACACATACACAGACATATAATGAAATGGTCAGTCTTGATACAACAGCCCAAGATGACTTCTAGTGCCCACACTATGTGAATCATCATTCTTCTGGTCCAAGTTCTTTGAAAGCAAGGTGTACATGTGCTTCATGCCGATCCCAGCACTCAGCCTGCCCGTAACAGCATTGTTACGTGTGCACTATACCTTGATGCCTGCCCTCAGGAGAGCATGAGCAGACACTCCCAGGAGATAATGTTGACAGACATAAGCAGGGCTGAGTTAGAGCAACCCAGGTGACCTTCTGGCAATCTGGAGAACAGTCAAGGTGAGACATGGAGAAAGGAAAGGCTCAAAGATGGTGACAGAACTGAAGCTCCTCTGAGTTCCAGACTTATGTGCCAGGTCTTTTAACCAAGAGAGGGAAAAATGAATTCTTTCTAGCTATAGTAAATACAGGTTTGAAATAAACTTTAATTTTCTTGCTTAGATTCTGGAAAAGCATTTTCCTTAGTTCTGCATGATAGTCCCACTAAAAGATGGCAAACATGTTGTAAAGCAAGATTTCTCACACTGCAATGTAGATGCAAATCACCCGATGATCTAGTAAAACTGATCCTGATTCAACAGGTCTGAGATGGGGGTCTCAATTCTGCACTTTGGACAAGCTCCCATGATCCCAATGTCACCTGGTCAGAGAACCACACTGTGAGTATCAAGCCCAAGGGCTGAGGCTTTCAAACTCAGCTGTATAATAGAGTCAGCTAGGGAGCTTCACAAGCTACATGCAAAGAATCTGACAGACATACACACAGCCTGAGAAATAGGATTTCTTAAACCTCCCCCTCAAATGATTCTACTTTACAGAAAAATTTGGTGCCCCCACAACAAGTAGACTTCTCTCAAACAGAATAAAAAGTTTCCACCTACTTACTTGAAAAAAAAAGTTTAGATTTGGGGTTTTCTTTGGGGGGGGGTTGCTTGTTTTGAGCTTTTGAGACAGGGTCTCACTCTAGCATAGGCTGGCCTGGAACTTACAATGTAATTTGAATTGGTGACAATCCTCCTCTCATGTCCTGGGGTTATCGGAGTGAGCCAGGGCTTAAAAACAGTATTTTTAAAGACCCAATTATTGCCGGGTATGATGGCATGCTCCTTTAAATCCCAACACTTGGGAGGCAGAGACAGGCAAATCTCTGTGAGTTCAAGGTCAGCCTGGTCTATACAGTGAGTTCCAGGCCAGCTGGGGCTACAGGGAGACCTTGTGTCAAAAAGATTTAAAACAAAAAAACAAAAAAACAATTCTTTGACAAAATCTATTCCCTTACCAAGGAAATTAACCAGAGTTCCATTCAGAAAGCCTTAAACCATGGCTAAGCTTTGACCACTCGGTTGAATTCTGTTAAGTCAGGTCTATTATGGTTTCTATTGGTCTCTGCTAGGCCACACTAGAGAGTATTAGACATTACATACTTCCTTCAGCTGATATAAGCTTAGGTATTTGATGCTGACTTTGTGTGTAATCAGTATTGGAACAACAGTGCCCTGATTCACAGTAGCTACCTCTGTGCTTTGCACTGCAAGACTCTCAGGGAGCAGATGGAAGACACAGAAAAGTCCTTTCTGAATCACTGCTACATTTAAGGTAAATTTCTACAAAAAAAAAGACATATGATACACTGTAAACACAAAAACAGAGCAGATTGTGATTATTATATATATATATATATAATATATATATTACTGTGGATTATCTGCTCTGTTCTGACAGGGATGACAACAAAGACAGACTGTAAGTACACAGATACAATCATTTCTCCTCCATATTTTTCTGTACAGACATCTCAAACATTCTGGAAGTAAGTTGTGTTCCTCTTATAAATCTATGGACAATTACAACCAGATGAAGCTTTGTAAAGAAATACTACCCTGTTACAAATATGCACATATCCCCATTTGGAAGTAGAGTTTCCCTCATATACATACTCTCCTGCTAAGCTAGGTAACCCACATGACTAATACAGATTCCTTTTCTTACCAGTGTAGTTTGCGGAATAGTTGTTTGGATCTAGAAACTTCTTAACCAGTTCACAATTAGACAAGATGTGATTTGTCATGATAGCATTAAGATAGTTCTGAAGGCCTTTCTGCCTCTCGGCTATGAATTCACGATCCATGTTTCCAATCAATTTTTTGGGTGGAAGAGGTAGACTTAGGCCTGCAATCTGAAAGAAAGAAAAGAAGGAAAAAAGGGAAGAGGAGGGCGTTAAACTCATGTCATCCACAGATAAGATTAATACCAGACCCCTGAATCATCATAGTTCACTAATATAAGATAATGTAGACTTCAAAGATGCATCCTAATTTTGGTGATATTATACATATATAATTGATAAAATTCTATATTAAGCAACTTTGAATTTCTTTCATTTTTACCAAAGTCACCACATATGAACATAACGCCAAGAGCAAATATATTATTGGTGGTCCTGAGGCACTCTACCCTCCACAACTTCTGCTACCAGGTGATATATCCATTCTCTCTCCCTGGACAGCCATATCAGATGAAAATCTGATCATTTGCCATTGGGGAATGCTTATATTGTTGCCTTGATTTTTCACTTACAGGCAGTAATTGTAAATTTTCATTGTGGAAGATGAGGATTAAGTTCTCTTTCAAACTTCTGACCTTAACTCATATACATTCTGTCTCTAGCCTCCCAGTAGGGTTAGATAATTTTAGTGAGTGCATTACCACCTTTACACTACATTCATATTGACTGTGGAACCTTTCTTAGATTCTGGGATGTAAGCTGGGAATCTATGAAATTATCTTCTCCCCTTCTCAGAATTCTGCTTTCTTACATCTGATTAATTTTGAGTTTTCACCTCTGAATTTTCAGCTTAA